ATGTCACTAGTTACCGCAATCGTGCATAGTTTATTATCATCCTGTTCTACATAATCTATTATTTCAGGAATATCACTAGTATTTTCCTGGGTGAAAACTGAGAGGAAGTAGGTATTTAGAATTTGACACATATCCTTATCACTGTCAGTGATCTGACCAGAGTTACTCTTAAGTGGGCCAATCTTGTCCCTAATCTTACTTCTGTATACCTGAAAGAATCCTTTAGGGTTAATCTTTGAATCCCTTGCGACCTTAGCTTCATAACCCCTTTTTGCTTTTCTTATTCCATTCTTTATTTCTCTCTTTAATTGAATATATTGATTTCTTAACTGCCCATCCCCTCTTTTGATACGCCTATATATGCCTCTCTTTTGACCAGTGAGATGTTTTAATCTACTGTTCATCCATTTGGGATCATTTTTGTTAGATCTAATTTCCCTACTCGGTACAAAAGTTGTCTGGGCAGCTAGAACTATGCTCTGATAAACGTCATATTGGCAACCAAGATCACCTACCTGACCCATAGTCAGGTCATCCCAATTTAGCCCACCCATGTAATTTTTCAGTCCCAGTTATCTGTTATCTGGGTAATTCCATGATATATTAAAACTAAGTGATTTGTGATCACTTTCCCCAAGCTCATCATTAACCTCAAGATTATTAATTAGTGAATCTTTGTTGACAAGAACCAAGTCAAGCAGATTGTTTCCTCTAGTTGGTTCTGTCACAACCTGTTCTAAAAAGCAATCCTGAACCGTATCAAGAAAGTCATTAGACTCAAGATTTTCCGTCATATTGTTCCAATCAATTTGTCTAAAGTTAAAATCTCCCATTATAACAACATTTTCATATCTAGATGCCTTATGAATTTCGTCCCATAACAGCTTACTGCACTCCCTATCAAGGTTTGGGGTCCTATAAATCACACCCAAAATTAATTTGTCATGTCCCTCGAGAAACTGTAGCCAAACAGATTCTGTGTTCGATGTCTCTAATCTTATATCATGTCTAAGACAACAATTTAAATTTTCTCTGACATACATCGCCACTCCACCACCCTTCCTGTTGACCCTGTCAGTGTGGAATAGTTTATAACTCTGTATGTTGCATTCAGAAGGCATTTCTCTATCTTTCAGGTTGAACCAGGTCTCTGTTATACCAATAATATCTATATTACCTACACTTACAAGTAATCTTAGCTCATCTATCTTATTTCTTAGACTCCTACTATTTGTATAGTAAACCTTAAGGGAGCTAGTCACTCGTTGCCCTCTACTATCTCTCTTTGTTTGTTGATCAATTGATTTGCCATTACTAACAACTTTATTTTGAATATTGTCTTTTAAACATATCCCTGAGGTATCCCGGTAATAACTGCTTTTTTAACCCTAATGCTGCAGCCTGATTGTTTCTCACAAACACCCATACCTCTATAATCTATCAGTTTAAACTCCTAGACAAGTCATCAATTTCCTTCTCAATTGAATTGGCTAATGCAACCACTCCATCCCCAGAGAGATGAACCCCATCCCTTGCATACATATCACGTTTGCCAAAGAAAAGGTCCCAGTTATCAATGAATGGGATTGCAAGTTCCTTGCAGTACCTGTCTAGCCAGCAATTTATACCAATTGCCCTAGACATCCATTCATTGCCCACTCCCTTTCTAGGCAAGATGCTACATATGACTGGGATCCCTCCCTTAGACCTAACTACTTCTATGGCTGACCTGTATTTATCCATGAGATATTTACAGTACATAAGCTTTAATAACCCTTAACATACCCATTTACTTAACACTTGCGCATAATAATATTTAACCTTCTAGGAAAATATATATAGGTTTATTCAGTAGTAACTAATCATAGAAATTATTAATACAGTTTTAGGAACTAAAATAGGTAGGATTAGGCTTAATGTAGGAGAATTAAAGAGCTGATGATTTATAATTTGAATCAAGAGATGCTTGCTCTTCAGTTGCTGCTCAAACATCAAAACATTAACGGCCAGAACACCGGCACAAAACTCACTTGGCTGGGGAAATAAATAACCTTGAGCGGTTTCCCAAAGTATAGGATACTCATCCCTATCAGGCACACCCGCAGCGAGACGATATCTGCAGTTCCTAGCAATAGTCGGCCGACATTCTGGTGAAAAGTAGGTTAGGCAATCTGTGGGTGAAGGCAGCTGGACACACAGAGATTGAAGTCCCTCTCCGAGGTGTCCTGAGTGGGAGCACCGATCATACCACCAAACCATACCCCGGCCGGGATTGAACCCGTGGTCAGAGAGTCTCAAAACTCCAGACCGTCGCGTTAGACACTAGACCAGCTAGCCACAATAAGATTCGTCCAACTAGGTATATTTCTACACCATAGGAAGGTTAGCATAGGCACCACTGTGACCACAAATGCAAGTTTTTACAGACGAATCTCCAGCTAGCGTGGCCGTGACGAACTCTAGCTCAAGTCCCCTCACTGCCGTCAACATGACTCACGAAATCATAATGACACGATTGCAAACAAACCATACCCCGGCCGGGATTGAACCCGCGGTCAGAGAGTCTCAAAACTCCAGACCGTCGCTTTAGCCACTAGACCAGCTAGCCACAATAAGATTCGTCCAACTAGATATATTTCTACACCATAGGAAGGTTAGCATAGGCACCACTGTGACCACAAATGCAAGTTTTTACAGACGAATCTAGTGGCTAACGCGACGGTCTGGAGTTTTGAGACTCTCTGACCGCGGGTTCAATCCCGGCCGGGGTATGGTTTGTTTGCAATCGTGTCATTACGATTTCGTGAGTCATACCACCAAGTAAGTCAACTCTATGTTTTATTCTCATATCACAGCAGCGGTAATTGGAATTTTGTTGCAAGAGCCATTTGTAAGCCTTGGAGAAACAACCCGGGGTGTCTGTGTCAACAGTTCTTGCTAATTTTCTAGCTTAGAAATGGGCAGTTTGCACAGAAATTTCAAAACGTATAAGGTATACAGACCTAGCTAATACCAGTGACATACTACTATATAGAAAGCCGCTTGTTATGCTGAGCATTTCAGGGAAATTAGGTCATATTTGTCCCAGTATGCAACCCACACGTCGACTAACACCCAGGTACCCATTTTACACTGATGGGTGAACAGGGACAGTCCCTAATGTTTTTCATCCATACCAGAGGAGATTCGAACTCCGGACCTCAGTATGTGAGATGAGTGCACTAGCGATCGTGCTACAGGACATAAGACACTCTTACTGATTTTAATGTGTACTTGCATGCCAGTACAGTATGTAAGTTTACTTAAGTACAGGTACAAAAGTATAATTATCACAGTATATATAAAATTTGAAATAGCTTCAAAACAATTGAAATTTTGGAAAGTTTTCAGAGATAATATAATATAAACTATGTTTTCTTATTTTCATATACTAGTAATCAATATGTACATCAATTATCCTAATTGTATATTGTACTGTACTTCACTATATAGAAATAAAGTTTGCTAATCCTAATTCCCAGGATGTGACCCACAACAGTCATACCAACAGACATATCGTATCCCAGGATGTGACCCACAACAGTCATACCAAGACATATCGTATCCCAGGATGTGACCCACAACAGTCATACCAAGACATATCGTATCCCAGGGTGTGACCCACAACAGTCATACCAAGACATATCGTATCCCAGGATGTGACCCACAACAATCATACCAAGACATATCGTATCCCAGGATGTGACCCACAACAGTCATACCAAGACATATCGTATCCCAGGGTGTGACCCACAACAGTCATACCAAGACATATCGTATCCCAGGATGTGACCCACAACAATCATACCAAGACATATCGTATCCCAGGATGTGACCCACAACAATCATACCAAGACATATCGTATCCCAGGATGTGACCCACAACAATCATACCAAGACATATCGTATCCCAGGATGTGACCCACAACAGTCATACCAACAGACATATCGTATCCCAGGGTGTGACCCACAACAATCATACCAAGACATATCGTATCCCAGGATGTGACCCACAACAGTCATACCAAGACATATCGTATCCCAGGATGTGACCCACAACAGTCATACCAAGACATATCGTATCCCAGGGTGTGACCCACAACAGTCATACCAAGACATATCGTATCCCAGGATGTGACCCACAACAATCATACCAAGACATATCGTATCCCAGGATGTGACCCACAACAGTCATACCAAGACATATCGTATCCCAGGATGTGACCCACAACAGTCATACCAAGACATATCGTATCCCAGGGTGTGACCCACAACAGTCATACCAAGACATATCGTATCCCAGATGTGACCACAACAATCATACCAAGACATATCGTATCCCAGGGTGTGACCCACAACAGTCATACCAAGACATATCGTATCCCAGGGTGTGACCCACAACAGTCATACCAAGACATATCGTATCTCCAATTTTTAATCACAACTCAAAAATAAAATTCCTCTATGAGAGTAAACATAACGCCAGCCCATTGTAACTCCAGGAACCAGTGTATATCAGTGATCGTACTTTGTTTCCTGCTTTGCTAGTGATTTAGTTGGGGATAGGCAGAGAGATTTGAGATAGTTATCACTGAGATAATCACTAACTAGGGCTTAAGAGTTTGTGAGTTAGCTGGAAAGATTTAATAGTATGGTGGAGAAGTTATTCAATTTATTTACTGATACAAGAGTTGGAATGGACGTTCATTTGGTTTAGTTGATACGATGTCTATTTTTATGAGAGTTTTATAACTATAAGGAACATTAGAGTAACCTGTCAGTCAAAACATTATGAAGAATTATGTATAAATAACTTAGATAGCAGGTTTGTTATCATATTTAAGTTATAAAAGAGTAAGCAATTTCAGTTTTAACAATGAATATTATGGTGATCATGTTAACATTTTTAATATTAGTAATGTATTACATGAAAAGGAAACTCACAAAGACTTTCAACTTACAGTTAACTTCTTGAGAGGTATTTCATAAGTAATTCTCTCAACTTTCTCCATGATGGTGGAGCCAGAATCTTCCAGGACAGGGACAGTTGTGGCACCTATCTTTGTGGTCATGTCCAGAGCTTTCTTGATAGTCTCCTGCACCTGTTATCATCAACATAAATATTAATGGTGGATGCCAGCAACAATCTAGTTCTTAATAATGTTGGTAGAATTACCAACAATATGTTAGGTAAAAGTACGACTAATAAGACATTTTATTGTGGCAACGTTTCACTCAACAGGAGCTTTGTTAAGCCATTACAAACAATAGAGGGACACAGAGGGTATATATAGGTGTGTTGTGAAGCATAATATAATCATTGTAGGTGGTAGTAGTAGTACTAATGGTAGCAGTAGTAGTAGTACTTATGATAGTAGTAGTAGTACTTATGGTAGTAGTAGTAGTACTTATGATAGTAGTAGTACTTATGGTAGTAGCAGTAGTACTTATGACAGTAGTAGTGGTAGTAGCTATGTGATGGCCGGGTTTATTGATCTGAGGAGAATTCTTGCTAATATTTCATAGATGATGAAGCTGTCTTTATTCTGTTTGTTTTAGAAATAATAAAGAATGATGATTCAAGGCATTTACTTCTACAGAAATTGGGTTCTTTAATCACCAGGCGGGTGTTGTTGAATTCCATTATGTGGGGACTCTGGTGGCCTGGTGGTTAAAGCTCTCGCTTCACACGGCGAGGGCCTGGGTTCGATTCCCAGCCAGAGTAGAAACATTGGGCGTGTTTCTTTCCACCTGTTGTCTATGTTCCCCATCATCCATGGACTGCTTGCAGAGTCAAATGCAATGTTTGTGGCTTTCACAGAGACCCGCATAAATGATCACTGGGGCAACGAAATATGGATCCCAGGTTACAACCTATACAGATGCGACAGAGTGAATAGGCAAAGGGGGATGGGAGGTTGGCCTGTATATCACAGAGTCACTTATTTGCACAGAACTGCTAAATGCCTCAAATGATGCAGTTTAAGTTTTAGCAGTAAAAATGGAGAACCAAAATCTGGTCATTGTGGTAGTTTACAAGCCTCCAGATGCAACGTCCCAACAATTATAGGAAGAGCTGTTGAAAATTGACCACTGTCTGGAAAATCTTCCAACACTCCTGCCCCCAACATCTTGCTCCTGGGGGATTTCAACTTAAGGCACCTAAAATGGAGGAATATAGCAAATAATGTTGTTGCAGTGATAACACCAGGAGGCAGCTCGGGTGAGAACTCACACACACACGAGCTTTTAAATCTCTGCACAAAATTCACCTTAAACCAGCAAATAATAGAGCCTACTAGATTGGAGAATACACTGGACCTCATCTTCACTAACAATGATGATCTGATAAGAAATGTCACCATATCAAAAACAATATACTCAGATCACAACATAATCGAGGTTCAAACATGTATGCGTGGAGCCCCAGACAGACAAAATGCGATCAATCACAAGGGAGCCTTCACCAAATTCAACTTCACTAACAAGAACATAAAGTGGAACAATGTAAACCAAGTCCTAAATGATATAAGCTGGGAAGATAGCCTAAGCAACACAGACGCCAACTTATGCCTAGAACAGATTAACTCTGTGGCACTCGATGTATGCTCGAGGCATATTCCTTTAAGAAAAAGGGGAGTAGATGTAAAATAGAAAGAGATAGGCGCTCCCTTTACAGGTGACGGAAAAGAATAACAGAGCAGCTAAAAGAGGCCAATTTATCTGCAATGCATAGGGAGACACTGGTCAGAGAAATAGCAAACATTGATCTGAAGCTAATGGAATCTTATAGGTGTCAGGAATCGCAGGAAGAACTAAAAGCCATAAATGAAATCGAAAGAAACCCAAAGTATTTCTTTTCTTATGCCAAATCAAAGTCGAGAACAACATCCAGTATTGGGCCCTTACTTAAACATAATGAGTTCTACATAGATGACTGGTCAAAGAGATATTCGGGTGTGTGTTGGTAATCGTTTATTCAGGTACAACATAATGAATTCTCCTAGCTGCAAAGAGGCAAAACACACAAATTAGGATGCACAATCTGATGTTGTGAGTACACGTTGTACCTCCTAGTCCTGATATATCATTGCCCTACATAGTATGGACGGAAATCTACAGTGGGTGTGCATTGCCCTCCCTGGCAGAATTGTGACTGTTAACTTACGTATTAGGGAGGTAAACTGTGTTCTGTCGGCCTCACGCTCTCTTTGTTTACACTCACGTTTCTCTGCCTCACCTACAGGCAGTGCACCGGCGCTGCCAACCCGCCAAATTTGACTCACTCTGTGTCACCCTATCTCCATCCCATATCCCCCCCAGTTTCCAGCGGGAAACTCATCACTCTGTGACATAATCCCATAGGTATGCTGGCGGACGTCTGGGGTTGTCGCTGTGTCGTGCGACTGTGGGGGTGTGGTCGCTGTATCGCCACTGGGTACCTGAGGCAGCTCACTGTTCTGTGCCGCACTACATGCTGGCGTGAGTAGGGTTTCGGTAGGCCGGGGAACAGGGTGTGGTGGCAAGGGCTGGTTGGCATTGGCCAGCCCCTGAATGTGGCGGAAGAGCCGCCGATTGTGCAAAGTAATCTGTCACGAGCCATCTACTTTGACCAAGTACTGGTCATACGGCTTCAGCTTCACTACCGCACTGGTCCTGTCATATCTCGTGCTGTGATTTCCAGTTTGGTTTTGCAGAGGCACTCGATTGCCGAGCACTGAGGGGGGGAAACTGACAGTTGTGGTGCTGTAGATCATCGACTTATTTGGCGAATCTTAGCCAGAGGGCCTCTTCTTGCATACCCCACGTTTGATGCCACACGGGGTGAATCAATGGGTTGGTGAACACCTGTGTTCCCGGAGCAATGGGTAGCAGATCCCGAAGATTCTTGCCAAAGATGATTTGTGCTGGTGGCATACTGGTCTGAGGGTCTGAGGAAACTGAAGCATGCCGGCAGTCACCGCCTCTGTATCGAGACTCCCATTTGCATCCATGTGCGATGTCAGTAAGCGCTTCATAGATTTGACAGCTACCTCTGCCCACCCGTTGGACTGCGGGTGGTGAGCCGATGAAAGGCGATGGCTCACTCCCCATTGTCGCAGAAGTGACTCCGTGTCTTTTGCGGTGAACTCCGGGCCTCCGTCTATGCTTAGTTCTTCAGGAGCACCAAATGTTGCAAAGTAATTGAGAAGAGCTGTGATGAAGCCCCCCTTGGCGCCCGACTTGGATGTGACAATGTGTGGCCAGCCACTGAATCTGTCCACGATGACTAGGTACCCAATGCTGCACGCTACACAAAATTCAGCAGCGATGGATTGGAAGGGGTTGCTTGGCACAAATGGTTGTACAGGGGGCATACAAGGCTGGATGGGTGACATTCCCCAGCAGGCATGGCACCTGGAACATGTGATCTCAATGTCTTGGTGATGCCTGGCCAAAAGATGGTGCCTACTGCTCTAAGAAGCAAGATCGCCACCCATCTAGAAACCCATCAGTTACACAACCCAGGGCAACATGGGTTTAGAGCAGGTCACTCCTGCCTGTCTCAACAATTGGATCACTACGACAAGGTCCTAGATGCACTAGAAGACAAAAAGAATGCAGATGTAATATATACAGACTTTGCAAAAAGCCTTCGACAAGCGTGACTAGGGCGTAATAGCGCACAAAATGCGTGCTAAAGGAATAACAGGAAAAGTTGGTAGATGGATCTATAATTTCCTCACAAACAGAACACAAAGAGTAGTAGTCAACAGAGTAAAGTCCGAGGCGGCTACGGTGAAAAACTCTGTTCCACAAGGCACAGTACTCGCTCCCATCTTGTTCCTCATCCTCATATCTGACACAGTCAAGGATGTCAGTCACAGCACCGTGTCTTCCTTTGCAGATGACACCCGAATCTGCATGACAGTGTCTTCCATTGCAGACACTGCAAGGCTCCAGGCGGACATCAACCAAATCTTTCAATGGGCTGCAGAAAACAATATGAAGTTCAACGATGAGAAATTTCAATTACTCCGATATGGTAAACACGAGAAAATTAAAAATTCATCAGTTTACAAAACAAATTCTGGCCACAAAATAGAGCAAAAACCAACATCAAAGACCTGGGAGTGATCATGTCGGAGGATCTCACCTTCAAGGACCATAACATTGTGTCAATTGCAGTTGCTAGAAAAATGACAGGATGGATAATGAGAACCTTCAAAACTAGGGATGCCAAGCCCATGATGGCACTCTTCAGGTTGCTTGTTCTATCTAGGCTGGAATATTGCTGCACACTAACAGCACCTTTCATGGTAGGTGAAATTGCTGACCTAGAAAATGTACAGAGAACCTTCACGGCGCGCATAACTGAGATAAAACACCTCAATTACTGGGAGCGCTCGAAGTTCCTGAACCTGTATTCCCTGGAATGCAGGCGGGAGAGATACATGATTATATACACCTGGAAAATCCTAGAGGGACCAGTACCAAACTTTCACATGAAAATCACTCCCTACGAGAGCAAAAGACTCGGCAGACGATGCAACATCCCCCAATGAATAGCAGGGATGCCACTAGCACGTTAAGAGACAACGCAAAAAGTGACAGGGGGCCAAGACTGTTCAACTGCCTCTCAGCATACATAAGGGGGAGTACGAAAAGACCCCTGGCTGTCTTGAAGAAAGCACTGGACAACCACCTGAAGTCGGTACCTGACCAGCCGGGCTGTGGTTCGTACGCTGGATTGCGTGCAACCAGCAGTAACAGCCTGGTTGATCAGACCCCTATTCACCATAAGGCCTGGTCACAGACAGGGCTGCAGGGGCATTGACCCCCAGAACTCTCTGCAGGTAAACTCCAGGTAGTTCAATAACCAACACATGTCAAAAAATCTGTGTAATATAATGGTCTACTGTATTATCCAGAGGGCCGAGGAGGGGTTGTTGAGGTGGTTCAGACATTCAGAGAGTGTGGATTGAAATGGAATGACTTGAAGAGCATATGAATCTGCAGTGGAAGGAAGGCAGGGCAGGGATCGGTCTAGAAAGGTTTTGGAGGGAGGGGGTAAAGAAGGTTTTGTGTGTGAGGGACTTGGGCTATCAACGTGTGTGTAAGCATGTTAGATAGGAGCAAGTGAAGACAAATGGTTTTTATGACTTTACATACTGTTGAAGTGTGAGCAAAGTAACATTTATGAAGGGATTCAAGGAAATTGGTTAGCCGGACTTGAGTCTTGGAGATGGGAAGTACAGTGCCTGCACTCTGAAGGAGGGGTGTTAATGTTGCAGTTTTTTATCTGTTATGTATGTGCGCCTCTGGCAAGACAGTGATGGAGTGAATGATGATGAAAGTTTTTCTTGTTTTTTTAGGTCACACTGCCTCGGTAGGAAACGGTAGACGTGTTAATAAAAACAATAGATAAAATCAGACTAATATTTAAACACAAGGAACTGGAATATATAACTACTGTAACTTTATAAAAGTAAACATTTAAAACAGAACAACATAAAAATGTTATAGGTAAAGTGTTAAAATATCTATAGTGTTTATGAAAGACAATTGTTACTTTCAGTTCAGTGAGAGTAGTGACCTCCAGCAGTGTACCTTCACTGAGGTGCAGACAGTGTTGACATCTGGGAAGAGTGCCTGACACTTCTGGATCCAGTCTTCACCTTCCACGTCGTACTGATCAGCTTCAACAATGGTAGAGACAACCTCCTGTACAGTGTTGACTGTGTCGAGACACTCCAGTATGGTCTGCAGCTGCTTCTTTCCTGCCTCTCCTTCTGTTGTCATATTTACCACACTGGTATCTTCCTGTTCCAGGAGCTCTATTGCTGCCTTGTTCTGTTCCATCAGATCATTGAGTCTGTCCTGCAGTTGATGGTGCTGGGTCTTCCAGTCCCTCACCTGCTGCTGGTACTTGCCCAGCTGAGACAGTACTTCCTCACACTTACTTATAAGGTAACTGATACTGTTCTTCTGTTCCTGTACCCTAGACTGTAACTTCTTGCCGATGCCTCTTGTGTGATCTTGACCAGGTTCTGCTGACACTGCGCCAACCGATGTGACCTGCATACTTGTAAATTTCTTCATGAAAGCCTCCATACCATAACTGATTGGGAACTGAGTAGCAGCTGTGGCACTGTGCTCAGCACGGCAGCTGGGACAGGTTAATTGAACATTATTTATTGTATCTTCAATACATTGTGTGCAGAATGCGTGGCCACACGGCAGATTGCGTGGCCGTCGTAGTTCTTCATCATAATTGTTGTAACACACATTACACTCCTCTGGTTTATCGTTATCCTGTAAAAAATAATATTGTTAGATTTAACATTAAAACAACCTTGAAAGCTGGCACTGAAATTGGGTTGAATTCAATTACATTACTCATCAATTAAGTGTTCATATAGAATTTTATATACATTTTTGAAAACCCAAAATACGGTCAAACTTCTTCACATTAACTACTACACCCAATACCAACAATACCACCAGTCCGTTGACATTCTTCTTTGCAAATATACAGGGTCTAAAGCCAGCAACAAACAACAAAATACCTTTCATCCGTGGACTGCTTGCAGAGGCAAAGGCAATGTTTGCGGCTTTCACTGAGACCCACATAAAGGATCACTTAGACAACGAAATATGGATCCCAGGTTACAACCTATACAGATGTGACAGAGTGAACAGGCAAAAGGGGGGGGCCTGTACATTGCAGAGTCACTTGTTTGCACAGAACTGCTTAATGCCTCAAATGATGTAGTGGAAGTTTTAGCAGTAAAGGTCGAGAACCAAAACCTAGTCATTGTGGTAGTCTACAAGCCTCCGGATGCAACATCCCAGCAATTCCAGGAACAGCTGTTAAAAATTGACCACTGTCTGGAAAATCTTCCAGCTCCTGCACCCAACATCTTGCTCCTGGGGGATTTCAACTTAAGGCACCTAAAATGGAGGAATATAGCAAATATTATTGTTGCAGTAATAACACCAGGAGGCAGCTCTGATGAAAACTCACACTCACATGAGCTTTTAAATCTCTGCACAAAATTCAATTTAAACCAGCAAATAATAGAGCCTACTAGAAAGGAGAATACACTAAACCTCATCTTCGCTAACAATGATGATCTGATAAGAAATGTCACCATATCAAAAACAATATACTCAGATCACAACATAATTGAGGTTCAGACATGTATGCGCAGAGCCCCAGACCGACAAAATGAGATTAGTCACGAGGGAGCATTCACCAAATTCAACTTCAATAACAAAAACATAAAGTGGGACCAAGTAAACCAAGTCCTAACCGATATAAGCTGGGAAGATATACTAAGCAACACAGACCCCAACTTATGCCTAGAACAGATTAACTTGGCACTCGATGTATGCACAAGACTTATTCCTCTAAGAAAAAGGAGGAGTAGATATAAAATAGAAAGAGAAGGCGCTCATCTTTACAGGCGACGGAAAAGAATAACAGAGCGGCTAAAAGAGGTCAATCTATCTGAAATGCGTAGGGAGACACTGGTCAGAGAAATAGCAAACATCGAACTTAAGCTAAAGGAATCTTACAGGAGTCAGGAATCGCGGGAAGAACTAAAAGCCATAAATGAAATCGAAAGAAACCCAAAGTATTTCTTCTCCTATGCCAAATCAAAGTCGAGAACAACGTCCAGTATTGGGCCCTTACTTAAACAAGATGGGTCCTACACAGATGACAGCAAGGAAATGAGTGAGCTACTCAAATCCCAATATGACTCAGTTTTTAGCAAGCCGCTAACCAGACTGAGAGTCGAAGATCAAAATGAAATTTTTATGAGAGAGCCACAAAATTTGGTTAACACAAGCCTATCTGATGTTATCCTGACGCCAAATGACTTCGAACAGGCGATAAATGACATGCCCATGCACTCTGCCCCAGGGCCAGACTCATGGAACTCCGTGTTCATTAAAAACTGCAAGAAGCCCCTATCACGAGCCTTTACCATCCTATGGAGAGGGAGCATGGACACGGGGGTCGTCCCACAGTTACTAAAAACAACAGATATAGCCTCACTCCACAAAGGGGGCAGTAAAGCAACAGCAAAGAACTACAGACCGATAGCACTAGCATCCCATATCATAAAAATCTTTGGAAGAGTCCTAAGAAGCAAGATCACCACCCATCTAGAAACCCATCAGTTACACAACCCAGGGCAACATGGGTTTAGAACAGGTCGCTCCTGTCTGACTCAACTATTGGATCACTACGACAAGGTCCTAGATGCACTAGAAGACAAAAAGAATGCAGATGTAATATATACAGACTTTGCAAAAGCCTTCGACAAGTCTGACCATGGCGTAATAGCGCACAAAATGCGTGCTAAAGGAATAACAGGAAAAGTCGGTCGATGGATCTATAATTTCCTCACTAACAGAACACAGAGAGTAGTAGTCAACAAAGTAAAGTCCGAGGCAGGCACGGTGAAAAGCTCTGTTCCACAAGGCACAGTACTCGCTCCCATCTTGTTCCTCATCCTCATATCCGACATAGACAAGGATGTCAGCCACAGCACCGTGTCTTCCTTTGCAGATGACACCCGAATCTGCATGACAGTGTCTTCCATTGCAGACACTGCAAGGCTCCAGGCAGACATCAACCAAATCTTTCAGTGGGCTGCAGAAAACAATATGAAGTTCAACGATGAGAAATCTCAATTACTCAGATATGGTAAACACGAGGAAATTAAATCTAGATCAGAGTACAAAACAAATTCTGGCCACAAAATAGAGCGAAACACCAACGTCAAAGACCTGGGAGTGATCATGTCGGAGGATCTCACCTTCAAGGACCATAACATTGTATCGATCGCATCTGCTAGAAAAATGACAGGATGGATAATGAGAACCTTCAAAACTAGGGAGGCCAAGCCCATGATGACACTCTTCAGGTCACTTGTTCTATCTAGGCTGGAATATTGCTGCACATTAACAGCACATTTCAAGGCAGGTGAAATTGCTGACCTAGAAAATGTACAGAGAACTTTCACGTCGTGCATAATGGAGATAAAACACCTCAATTACTGGGAGCGCTTGAGGTTCCTAAACCTGTATTCCCTGGAACGCAGGAGGGAGAGATACATGATTATATACACCTGGAAAATCCTAGAGGGACTAGTACCGAACTTGCACACGAAAATCACTCACTACGAAAGCAAAAGACTCGGCAGACGATGCAACATCCCCCCAATGAAAAGCAGGGGTGTCACTAGCACGTTAAGAGACCATACAATAAGTGTCAGGGGCCCGAGACTGTTCAACTGCCTCCCAGCATACATAAGGGGGATTACCAACAGACCCCTGGCAGTCTTCAAGCTGGCACTGGACAAGCACCTAAAGTCATTTCCGGATCAGCCGGGCTGTGGCTCGTACGTTGGTTTGCGTGCAGCCAGCAGTAACAGCCTGGTTGATCAGGCTCTGATCCACCATGAGGCCTGGTCACAGACCGGGCCGCGGGGGCGTTGACCCCCGGAACTCTCTCCAGGTAAACTCCAGATAAACACATCATACACACACCAGAGGTATATTCCTAATCTTTATCAACAATAATAATAACAATCATAATAACAAAAATTTTATTGTAGTATGATATGTGTTTGTACAAAGGAGTATAACAATTGGATGTACATGTCAAAAGCCGCTTTATATGCAGAGCATATCAGGCAAACATAAGATTAATAAGGCAATAACAGTACAGTAATTATACGTATGGTCATTAGTTGCGTTATAATGAATACAAGAGAAGAGAATATTCTGTCAGTTCATACTTTATGACTTTAATAAGTGTGGTAGAGAGGAATTACAGTTTTGATTCTTAACCTAAGGTGGACACAAAGTAATTATAAACATTTGAGAGGATTACAGATATTGAGAGTAAGTGTATAATGATTGCAATAATTTAATTAAGTCAATGATATTGAGCAAATGCACTTATAGTTTATACGTATTTATTTATGATGGGCCGGCCAGGTCAACGAGATAAGATGTTTCCTAACTCTCGTTTTATAAATACTAACTGAGGCAGTGGTTCGGGAGATTTCTGGCAGTGTGTTGCAGATTTTGGGTCCTTTTATGTACAATGAGATTTTGAAAAGATGTAGCCTGACATGAGGAATGTCTTAGAGATTTCTGTGCCTGGTATTGTGACCATGGGTCCTATTGCATCAAGAAAGTGCTTCAGGTCAGGAGTTATATTAGAGCTGATGGTTTTGTAAATGTAGGTGGCACAGAAGTACGAGTGGATCTTTTGTATAGTGAGTAAGTGTAGGTCTTTGAAAAGTGTGTGTGTGGGGGGGGGTGTTGTCTAGCTGTGGACTGTGTGATCATTCGCACTGCAGCTTTTTGTTGGGTTATTATTGGCCTTAAGTGAGTTGCTGTTGTGGAACCCCAGGCACAAATAGTATAGTTAAAGTAGGGGTAGATTAGTAAATAGTATAGTGTAAGTAATGCTGTTTGTGGTACATAGTAATGTATCTTTGAGAGGATGCCAACTGTTCTAAATACTTTCTTCATTATGCGTTGAAAATGGGTGTTGAATTTCAGGTTGGTGTAGAAACAATCAGAATGTTATGCATAATTTTTAGTTGTACCTCATTTCCTCTACTCCCAAACACAATGAAAAAGGTTTTGTCAGTGTCCATTACGTAAGTTTATTGACAGTCATCCAAGCTGCTATTTTTGCGAGCTCTTCATTAACAACAATATTGAGTGAGGCTAGATTAGAGTGGGAGATGACGAAAGTCGTGTTGTCAGGAAAGAGAATAGTCGTAAGTTGAGATACACTTGGAACAATGATGTGTAAAAGGAAGAAGTAGGGACCAAGAATGCTTCCCTGTGGTATACCAGTGTCCAGGGGTCTTGTTATTAAGGAGGTTGCGTCTTTCATAGAGACGTTCTGCTTTCTATTAATAAGGTACATACATATATATACTAGAGGTATACAGGAACATCAACAAACCAGGTGTCATTATTGTTTGTATAAATATAGTAGGTCTTGCCTACACTGAGGGTTAGGTTCCTGAATCCCACTGAAAATAACAAAAAAAGGCACAATACCGTGACTGGAACGATACACAAATAACCCGCACATAGAAGAGAGGAGCTTACGACGACGTTTCGGTCCGACTTGGACCATTTACAAAGTCACACTAACCAGATCATCATCAGAGGACTCACAGGTAAGGACCCACGAGGGGCGAGGGGCAAGTGGGGACAGTGCGAAGAATAGACGGTGAGAGGAACATCTTGAGTCGAAGAAAGAGTCAGGA